TTAATGCGTATTCTGAAGAAATTATACAAGAAACTTTGGTAAACGAGACAGTCGTCATAAAAGTGAACGGAAGTTTAATTAACAACATTAGGTATGCCGACGATACAGTCATAACAGCCGACAAGTTGGAAGACTAAGAAAGAATAATGAACAAAATATTAATATATAGTGGAGAATACGGACTCTCTCTTAACATAAAAAAAACAAATTCATGAAAATTAGTAAGAACAACAATACAAATGAAATATTAGCGGTAGACAGTCCACAGATTGAGAGAATAAAAAGATATACTTACTTGGGAACGATAATAACAGAAAATAACGATTATACTGCAGAGATAAGAGTCAGAATTGAAAAAGCACGTGCCAACTTTGTGAAAATGAAAAAGATTTTATGCAGCAAAGATCTGACATTGGCCCTCAGAATAAGGCTAATTAAATGCTATGTACACAGTGTACTCTACTATGGAGCTGAATCATGGACATTAAACCGGAATACAATAAATGCAATATCTCGGACATGTAATGAGAGGCGAAAGATTCAACATCTTGAGACTCATAATTCAAGGAAAAATAGAGGGTAGGAGAAGCGTAGAAAGAAGACGCGTTTCCTGTTAAAAAACCTGAGAGAGTGGTTTGGTTGCAGCTCAAGGCAATTGTTCAGAGCAGCTGCCTCGAAGGTCAGAATAGCCATGATGAATGCCAACCTCCGTCACGGAGAGAGCACTTAAAGAAGAAGAACGAAATATTGTAAGACGGTTACAAACCATCATCGTTTCTTTGTGACGTCGAAGCGAACATTTTTTCCAGCGTGGACGGTGGGTCTCTGCTAAAGTTTCTCTTTAAGTGTTTGAAAATATTTCAAATTTTTATCTCTTCTATCAGGGTGACATACTCTCAAGTGATCTTCGAGCTTAGATGGCTTCATAGTGTCATTGCTAAAAACGTCGTTGCATAAATGCACATGGGAGAATGTACAAAAAAGCACAAGTCGTTTATTTGTACGACAATGATTGATGATTGCAATTTCTTGCAAATGACCCCTATTTTCATTTTATAGATCCTCAAGTTTTTTTTGCCCACGTAGAACACTTGCAGGTTTTCATCGATCCCTGGGGGTCGATATAGACCACTTTGGGAATCACTGATGTAGATTATTCTTTCGTAATATCCGTCTAATAGTTTCATGGTTACATCTTTTTCCAAACCGTCTTTCCACTCAATCTCATCTCGCAATTTTGGTGCATTTCTTTATAGTTATTTGTCTATATTTCCTTACGTTCGGTAAAAATCTATTTTGCATCTAACTGTGATTTAGTTTCAACTCTATTTTCAATAATGTTCTGAACTGTTAATAAACATTTACCATTTTGGATATGTCTCTTTGGCTATATTCATTTTTATAGTGAGTAACACTTAAATTTATTTCACTAATTGTAGTTCGGCAACACATTCTTAAAAAAATTGTTATTTGCCGATTAAACACTTTGAAATGTCAAACGAAACATAAAAATAACTGCAATAAGAATTTTTTGCAACACGTACTTCGCAAAGTTCAAATTGATAAGTTGTGTCTTCATCTTATCTGCATCATTTTAGCTATGGCATCAAAATCATACATAAAATAATCAAATATTTATTGTTATTTAAGTATGGTATAAGTGTCTTCTCTTGCTACATGTGCTACCCATTGCCATCGCAATATCGCTATTTTTCCTATGATGTCGGTTACTTTAGTTCTTCGACGTATTTCGGTGTTAAGAAATTTGTCTCTGAGGCTTATATTTAACATGGCCCTCTCCATGGCCCGTTGAGTTACTCTTAATTGTTCTGCCATTTTTCTTGTTATTGCTATAGTTTCTAATCCATACGTTACAACTGGTAGTATACAAGTGTCATAGGTTTTTCCTTTTAAGTGTATTGGGATTTTTCTGTCTTTTAAAATGAAGCTCAACTTATCAAAAGCAGCCCATGACAATTGTGTCCTTCTTTAAATGTTCTGCCATTTTTCTTGTTATTGCCATAGTTTCTAATCCATAAGTTACAACTGGTAGTATACAAGTTTCAGGGTTTGATTTTTTAATTGCATGTTCTAGATATATATTGTTCTACCTTTTCTATATCCATGTTATCTATCGTAATGTTTTCTAGGTTGTTGCTTAATATCTTTGTTTTGTCGAGATTCGTTTTTAATTATATTTAATTCAATTTGTGATTTAAATTTTGTAGCATAGTTGTAAATAATTTGGGTGAGATGGTATCGCCCTGTCTCACACCTTTGCCAAGGTCTATTTTCATAGTTTTAGATCATCATCTATTTTTACGTGAAAAGTAGCATCATCTTATATATTTTTAATAAGGGCAGCATATCTTGAAACTACTCTGGCGTCCTCCAATGCTGTTAAGAAAGCCCATTTTTCGATACTGTCGAATGCTTTGTGATAATCGACAAATTCCAGATGTAGTGGTATGTTGTAATCTACTGTTTTTTCAATAACTGTTCGGATTATTTGCAAGTGATCGATAATGCTAAAACCCTTACGAAAGCCTGCTTGCTCCACTGGTTGGTGTGCATCTAGCTTACCTGTCAACCTATTTGTTATTATTCGGGTTAGTAGTTTGTAAAGGTGTGATAATAAGCTTATTGGTCGGTAGTTTCCTATATTTGTGGCGCCCCTTTTTTATGGAATAGACTGACTTCCACATTTTTCCATGCTTTTGGTATTTGTCCTTTCAATAGGCATTTATTCAGTAATGCCTCATTGTTTCTTCTAAGTGCAGTGCCTCCCACTTTTAGCATCTCTGAAATAATTTTATCTTCCCTGGTGTTTTGCCATTTTTCATTTGTTTTAGAGCGGCTCTAATTTCTGATGTTATTATTTCAGGGAGATTCTCTGAGCCCATATTTAAGATATATTTTGTGGGTATACAGTGGTTCGGAATAGTAGAAGTATACAGGTTCTCAAAAATTTTTCGAATTTCTCTAACTATCTCTTCCTTATGCGAGCACAATATGTTCCACGGTCGTCTTTTATTTTTATGATTTTATTCCTGCCAGTGGATTTACATGTTTTTAGTACTTTCATTTTCTTATTGTTTTCTATGGTTTCAAGAATCTGGTTTGTTCTATAAGCTCTGAGGTTTTTTAGAATATTTTCTTAACGCTTCTGCTGAGCGCTTTATAGTCCGGGTTATCTCTGTTCGTTCTTCTTCTTTTCTCTATCTGTTGTAGAGTCTCGGGTTTTAGTTTAGCTTTTTTTGTTTTCTTATTCTGCAACAAAGTTTCTTAGTGACTGTTTGTGTATATCTAACTAACACTTAATTTTTCTTTCCCTAATATTTTTTTAATAAATCCTGGAATATTCGTAGAAAATTATATTTCGCCTAGTTTCATAAATTCAATACGAATAAATATTTCTTCAGCAACAATTTTTTGCACCACAGTTTTTTCTTCTTCGCTTTATCATCGGTATCATTGGAAATAACACGACTATTACAGTGGCATTACTTTTTTCGAAATCATCGGTGTCATAGTGAACAATCGTGAACAATATATTAAACTTCAAAACAAATGCCATCGTCTGTCGACAGTTTAAAATCCGAAAACCTTTCACCCAACAGTCTTTCCCTTTCACGGCTCTATTACTTTCATTTTTAATATATATTTGAAATAAAAATTTGATTTGATTAAGTTGCATTAAAATTTTTAAATGTAGTTATACATCAATGCAATAATTTATAATATCAGAGTAAAATACATCAAAAAAATGTGGAACGCTTCACGATTTTGCGTGTCATCCTTGCGCAGGGGCCATGCTAATCTTCTCTGTATCGTTCCAATTTTAGTATATGTACCGCCGAAGCGAGTACAATTACGTTTCCCTTTTTCCTATATATGTACTAATCGCATCAAAATACGTATTGGCAGTTTATAAGTGACGTCGCTGCACAAAGACTGGTTGCGCCATCTAGGTGTTGTATTCCGTAGAACAATCGATCAATAAATCTACTCTTATTAAAAGTAATACAAAGAATATAGACGCATATGCTTTTTTATTCGTTGGTAATACTTTATAATAAATAAAATTCAAAAATAACTTGTTAAAATATTTTGTTGTCACTAATTTTTTTGTTTCTTTTATATCACACACAATAATTTTTAAATTTCTCACAGGTTCAGCGACATCTGTACGACATGCTTCAACTACCATTTAAATTTTAAATAATATATTGTAACAAAGTAAAATACTTCAGCAATTAAGACCAAAATCATCATTTTCTGCTATAAATCTATTTAATTTTAATAAAATAGGCAAACCGGAATATTCCGATCAGTACTATTTTATCATCTTTTATCTTGTGATAGTAGAGGGGGAAATATACAGATCAATGCTGATTTTTGACCACCTTCACATGAGCACATGAGTCATTGAATTGTCATTGATAGAACAAAAGTAAAGTAGTGAGGAGGGTGAATAGATAACCCGCGTAAAATCATTCCAGCGTCGACGTAAAGTGCACAAAATTTTATTTATTACCTGTGATATGTAAGTATTGATTTATTATTTTTACAGACAAAGAACCATTTCATTTTAAAATTTTTTGAAAATTTGTAGTGTTACGTAACAGGCACTTGATTCTATTTCCAAGCGATTTTATTTGATTAAGTAATGCATGGCGATGCACTATGGTAATAAAATAAATCTTAATGATTATTGTCGAAGTCCTTTTGGCTGTTATAATAATAGTGTTACTGTAACTACATGACATAATCTTTATCAGGTGTGTTTGAAAGATCAACAGATACGCATCGTATTCAATACTATCTTATCCTAAAAATCATAATGTATAATATTATATTTGCATTTAATACATAAATTTAATTCTATGAATTTATCTTGACATAATATCCCCTGATCTCGTAATCTCCCAAGTTCAAATTCCAACGTCTAAATACGTCACCGAGGATTTTCCACATCCCAACATAGTTGCCGCACCTTCAGAGTAAATAGTAATATCGGTTAATGTATTTGTGTGAATTCAATGATTGCATTGGGGCCAATAAATATAATTGTCTATCCATTATATTATTGGAATTATGTCTGCGATTTTTATAGGTATAAGAAAATTTCACTATAAGTTGCAAAGACCGACAAGTTCAACACAGGTAGGGAATACTATCTTATACTATTGTAATTACATGGTACTTTGATGGTACGGTACCTACATCATCTGTATAATTTATTATTAATTAATAAATTTTGTTAATAAAGGAACATAAATGAATCGATTATTACTTAAAGGGACTAAGTGATATTTTCAAGTTTTAAGAAAAACAGAAAAATGTTGTTGTTTTTTAACCTCTTGATATTTTAAACTTTTTATTATTTTTTTCATTAGTATGGTTCGGTTAAAGTTGTGTATTAATAAAATCAATCTAGAATTTTGGATTTTCTTTATTTGACAGCTTTTTCAAAAAAATTTGTCCTTTCAAAAATATAAATTTTATAAAGCAAATTTAATTTTTTAGGTTTTTATATAATCCTATAATATCGTAATTTTTTGTGAAAACCAGACACAAAAGTATATTTAACGAAAATTAAAGAAATAATATAATATAAAACAGAAATAAAACATTATATTTACAACATTTAGAACAAAATCGAAAAAAATGGTTTTCAGTTCTATCAAGATGCTTTGGTTTTGGATTTCTTGGTCTTCCAGAAATTTATTATGTTGACGTAAAACTTTTGCTTATTTTCTGGTACTCACTGGCTAAGGCTTTGCAAATGCTCTATTTTTGGTTTTCAAAATTGGCACCATGTCTTCAGGATATGCTGGTATTTGGGCCATTCGATATTAAATTGGCTGTTGTGTTTCGGTAAAGCCAAATTGAAGTGATTAGCATCAAAAATGCTATTAATATATTCCGATGCCCTTACATAACCTGGAGTGACGGAGCTATATACATAATGGTTAAAGGTCGAAAGTGAAAAATGAGTTTTTTGAGATCGAGGAACATTTATTAAAAAAAAATAATAGGAAAATCCCAGTAGTTGGCTGTATCCATGGTCAAAAATCTTATACTTATATCAAAATTTGTATATTGGTATAAAAACATTTAAGTGTAAACTTGTTAAAAGTGTCGTCCAAAATCTACAGATACATAATGTTTTTATTTCACAAATTCACATAATGGCTTTCACTAATAATATATTAGGTAGGTACTATTACAAAAAAAAATTATATTTATAAAAAATTACATTAGTTTCTGATCATACCCATACCTCGTCATGTTAATGCTGTCTTCCTGAATTTTACTTCCTGTCAGCCAGTTGGTCTGTGTCGTTTTAACTGATAAGAATCATATGTTCAAGTCGAGCAAAGAAACATGTTGCTCTTTGTGTATTAACATCTTCAACCATTGTCATAGAGCTAGGGTCGTATTATAATTTTAATTTAAATATGTAAAACCATATATTGATGTCTTTGCTGCAATTTTAGTGTACAAGTGCCAAAAGAAGGCACTGAGGATGATCTGAGCTAGATCGAAAACGTTATGTATCTGTAGATTTTGGACGACACTTTTAACAAGTTTTAAATTAAATGTTTTTATACCAATATACAAATTTTGAAGTTTTTACTTCTGTATAAGAACAGGCAAGAAACACCTTCTTAAAGATGCGACAGTTACTCACTACCCGTAATCTTGATTTGTCTCTACGATACCGCATGATAAAGTGTTGTGTATATAGTGTACTATTACACGGCGTGGAAGCTTGGACGTTAACAGTCAGCTCGTTACGACGTTTAGAGAGCTTTGAGATGTGGGTATTTCGTCGTATGCTGAAAATTCCATGGACCGACCGCGTTAGGAATAAAGAAGTTTTAAGGCGTATGAATACAGAACGTGAACTCACAGAAATTATCAAGAAGCGTAAAACGTCTTATCTTGGACACATATTTAGACACAACAGGAAAAGCCCAAAATAGGGAAGACTTTGCAGAGGTCATCGCCAACCTTAGCTAAGAAGACAGCACCCAAAGAAGAAGATAAGAACATTTATTTGTTGAGATTTAGTGGACAGGCTTGTCTTTTTATAATACGTAAACTTTTGGCACTAGAATTAACAATAATTTCCGTGTACACCGAAATCCCTGTCACAGGGCAGTAAAGGGTGCCTTATAATGGGAAAATAATATTCAATTTTATCGAAGCGCCTCATAATAAGGGCCAAATATAATCTTATAATAGTGTGGTTTTTATTTTGCCCAGGGCAGTTGTCACAACTGTTTCAACTCTTTTATGTTGGGTGGTAAGTAATTTTTTATATAATCAAGCAAAAAGGTGCATACTTCATTCGGGTCCGTATTGGCCTGTCCTTCGTGATAAACATAGAAAAAAGAATTTTCTGTTTTAAGACTATGTATGCAAAATACATTAACCGTCAGTTGGATCTTATAGAAGACTTCCTTCTTGTACAGGTATATGTGGTAGATAAACATTTTGCATATAGTCAAATGCGAGCCCTGCCACGGTGTTCCTATCGTGACACTCTTTAACAGTATCCTTTAAATTCGTATAAAACTTGTTGGCCCTTTTTTTGTGCATCAAAAATTCTGTAACAGCCACTTTTTTGAGGCATTTCTCAGAGATGGACTTTTGATTTTTAAATTCAACTTTTCATATTTTACGCATGTGTCTATTTGAGGACGGCGAAATTTCAAAGCAAAGTTTTCGCGAAAAAGTGTATAATAATATCTGTATTTAATTTTTGTTTCAGGATACTTGGATTTAAACATTTTGTACATAATTTTTATATTAAGCCCCCTATCTCGATATTTATATTCTTTTCCAGAATAGTTATTTTTACTGGATAGCTTTGAATGTGCTGACGAATTAATATGTTTTGATCTTCCGTCATTGCCCGTTTATTATTTTTCCACGTTTGTCTCTAGGAGTCAGATTATTTTTAATAAATGATTTTATTCGCTTTATTTTGTTTTCAGATACAGAACGCAAATTTAAAAATTCATTTACGCCAGAAAGGCGTAAAATGGCGTCCTTTACGGTCATGAGATCTTGGACAAAAATCACAACGACGTGAACGCTTTTGTGGCTCTTGGTGAGGTTCATCAGGGTATCCATATCCAAGGTATTGTTTCAGAAAATGTCTTAACTTTCTTGGCAGTCGGTTATTTTCTACTCTTTGCTTCATATAATCTTCCACCAAAGAATCGGCTAGGCTTTCGAGAAAAGTAGAACGGAAGTTACAATTCGCCAATGTTGGAAATTGATGTAACACAAAAGAATTGATTCCAGCAGCATCTAACATTCCATACAGAATCCTTAATGGCCACCTTCTCGTCTTTCGAGCAACTGTCTTCGAATGACAGAGTTAATCAAACGTATCGATCTCACCTTTAGTCGAATTATAGAACATTGTAATTTCTGGCTTTTTTGTTTCTGCATTTATTTCGTCTGCACAATGCATAGAACTTATAAGTAGAACGCATTTTTTATTTTCTGAAACATGGAATACTAAAGCTACATCTTTTGAAAAAACAAACGCTGATGAGGGGATTTCTCTGCGTTTTACATCTAGAAATTGTACCGGTATTTCTCTTTTATTTTTGCGGAGAGTTCCTACCATGATAAGTTTATTTTCAAGAAGTTTTTTTGCTAACTCGATCGATGAAAACCAGTTGTGCATTATTATGTTACGATTTGTTCCTGCTATTGTTTTCGATAGTTTCATAACACATTGCGTTGGAATAGAACCATCTTCAGGCCTTCTGTTTGGATCTTTTCCAGTATAAGGAATTGCAGAACACATATAATTTGTTTTGGCGTCGCACATTATAATAATTTTAATATCTATAGTTACATATTCATAAGAAGTATACAAGCTTTCGCAGTTTACTATAAATAGATCCCATATTTCTCTTATTGGTGCGAATTTATTCACAGTTTTTCTTTCTGCTCGAGTTGTTTTGTCATCAAATCGCAAGCAGTTTAAAAAAAATTCAAACCTGTTTTTTGTCAGTGTATTGCGAAATATTGCTAAGGCAAATTTTTCTGACCAGATGTCTTCGAGGGAAAGATGTGCTTGTTTTAGAAGTCCTGCAAAGTATAAAAGCTCAACCAAAGCCATAAAGCGTATGTATCGTTGTTCCAAAGTAAATTTAAATTTTTGAGTTTCTATTTCTCTATTTGTGCTGTTGACAATTATCTCTAAAATTTCATCACTAAAAAATAGCTGCCATATTTCTTTCGGGCTTTTAGTGTTTTTACATTTTTGTTTTGGGCCAGGTAAATGTACAACTAAATTTTTTGCCGAGGTCCTCGTTCTCTTCGGCAAATTCGGTAAACCATTACGAGCAAAAAATCCAGGACGGTCATCTGTCGCATACGTTTCCATAGTTTCCTCATTATTGTCTGTTCCCTCCTGTAGTTCTCTAATAGTACATTCAAAGAATATATTTGGTACATTTATCAGATGCAGAATCGTTGATTAAGACATCCTCGTCTTCGCTATCGTTTTCATCTAAGGACTCCTCGTATGTCAGATCGTCATTATCGTCTTTGTATAAATCTTTCCAAAGCTCTGTTTCAGTAAGAGGACGCCGTCGTTCATACTGCAGTTGGAATGCCTTTCGTTTTAAATTTTTATCAGCCATTTTCGTACAATAAATCATTATTTAAAATAAAAATTTTCGTTCTATATTCCTCTTTATCTTCTAATTAATGTCTATAGTCTATACCATTTGGAATCTAGTTTTTTAAACTAATCACATATATATATATATTAATGTAGATATGGTCACATGAGTAGTAATAATAAAAAGAATATGATCTCAATGTGTACTGAAAGTTTATTACTATTTAAATTTATGGCAACATTGCTCGTGATTCACATTCGCATACGTCAATATTTTGTCTACGTAGTAATCACGCTTCCACCTCCACTTTTGAATGTAAGATGTAAGGAAGTTTCAAGGTCATAGTTTAAATGAAATTAAAATAACCACGTGCCATTTCTTTTTACGTCCTGCTCTGATCTCATCGAGTTGAGGTTAGATTTTATCCTTTTCATCAGTTTTCAAAAATTATAAAATATTCTTTTTATTTTTAGATAAACTACTTTTAAATAACTAAAATGGGTGTACCAGCCGGAGATGTAGAAAAAGGCAAAAAAATCTTCAAGCAAAGGTGCGAACAATGCCATACTGTAGAAGCAGGCGGTAAACACAAAGTAGGCCCCAATTTACATGGATTGATTGGAAGGAAGACAGGACAAGCACCCGGATTTGCCTACACAGATGCTAACAAAGCCAAAGGTAAGCTTAAAATATAAATATATATTTTAACATTGCATCATATTTTTGGGTACTACCTTGAATACTTTCTAGCTATTATTAAATAACTCTGTTGTTTCCTTAAATATTTAACTAATTAAGTGAATTTATTTATGATAATTTGAATCTAGTTATAATGAAGGAATGAATAAAATATGGAAGCCACATGCATTCAAATAATTAGGTATTTTAGATTATCAAATTTATGATTAAGTAGGTTAAATACCTTAGTAGGCTCTTGCCTACCAGTGAACTAGAATCAGAAGGCATTTAAAAATTGCCTATTAAAAAATATGTGATATCAGCTTCAATAAACTGATTTCAACAAATGAGGCTGTTGAAAGGCTTCTAAATTTCCGTCACGTTATCACATGACATCAACTCAATAAAATTTTCTTGGTTTTATTTCAAATTATACTCATATATGCTGCCTTTAAAGCAAGATACACTTAGTTTGAATATTCTTCATCAATGTGACCATAATCCATGATTGTCTTAGTTGTCTTTATCTTTATTGCTATACATACTTTCCTAACTATATTTCTCCATATGTTTATTCTTTGCACATGCACTAGTGGCGGCTTGTGGTAATTTAAAAAGGGTGTTCAATTATGTGTCTAGGTGTTTTTGTGTTTAATTATTGAGTTTATTTATACATATAATCCATTCTTCGATTTTTGTGTTTTACAAAAACATTGATAACACTAGCATTAAAGTCTGATATTGTGGAAATCAACTCCTTTTTCGAGGCTTAATATATCAAGTGAATTTAGTCTGTTCCACTACATTGTATTTCTCAGTAAAGATTTGATCCTTTTCAATGTAGAAAAACAACATTCACTTTAGGCACTGGTCATTGGAATTGTACAGATTAATTTTCACTAAAACATTAGGTGAGGTTATCATCATCATCAGTGGTGCTACAGCTCTAGTTGAGCCTTGACCTTCCCCAGTCTATTTCGCCAGTCGTTTCTGTTCATCGCCAACCGTTGCCAATTTGCCGCGCCGATTTTCCTTGCGTCCTCGTCCACACCGTCCCTCCATCTCAGTCGTGGTCTGCCTCTACTCCTATTTCCCACTGGGACCGATAATAGAGTTCGTCTGGGTGGGTAATTTTCATTTGCTCTTGACACATATCCAGCCCATCTAAGCCTACCTATTTTTATGAAGGATATTACATCTCTACCATTTACTATTTTTTTATACTTCTCGTACAATTCGAAATTATATCGCCTTCTCCAAATACCATTCTCACAGAATGCGCCCATTATTCTTCTTAGTATCTTCCTTTCGAAGACGAGCAGAAAATTTGCGTCTGTTTTGGAGATGGTCCATGTTTCTGACCCATATGTCAGCACTGGTAGGATGAGTGTTCGATATATTATTAGTTTGGTTTTCTGGCTTAAATTTCTGTTTTTTAGCTGCTTGCTTACTCCAAAATAACATTTGTTTGCTAGCAGTACCCTCCGTTTAACTTCTTCAGATGTGTCATTATCGTTTGTTATGAGAGAACCCAAATATGTAAACTTATTTACTACCTCAAAATTATATTGGTCCATACTGAAGTTTTGTTTGGCGTTTCTAGCTCTATCTCTGTTATTTGGAATAGATGCTAACATTTTAGGTCAGGTTATTATCAATAAGAAATTGTAAGATTGGCAACGCACTTCTCTCACGATGAAAATAATTTCATCTAAAAAGGTAACATTGATAAAGGTATCAAAATCATTGGTAGGAAAGTCTTTTTCATATTTGTTGAATTTTTCAGAAAAAAAAGTTTTGAAGCCAAAAGATGTTCGGTAAAATAAAACCTATCTTTGGACTGATTAATCAGGATATCACACCACACTCTTCTTTTGTTTGCACATACTATGATACTAACTGTCTCGTCATTGGTGAAGGTGGACGATTTAAGTTACAAGTATTTGAAATGACTTTGTCAAAACTATTTAAAAATCTGTTCATTTTAACGGCATCCAAAGATCGAGATTGAAATTCTTTAAAAAGGATTTCACAGTGGGGCATTATTTGAGCGAAAAATGTAAGCCAATAAATGAACCTTGCATTTTTTATGGTTTATTGTGGTAAAATCATTCCCACTGCTCTCTAATATACTCTCTAGACAATTTTTTACAAGTTCTTTGTTTTCAAAAGAAGGTTAGGACAGTTTGTGTGAAATTCCATCTTGTTGCTGGTGCTGTCAGAATTCTTGTACGTTGCCTAACTTGCTAGTTCTTCCTCCTGATCTAAAAAAAAGGCGGAAATGCATGTAAATTGACAAAAAAGACATTTGCATGAATACAAACACTTTTCAGCAATATTAAATTAAATTGATGTGTATAACAATGTATATAAAATGCGTAAGGAAAATCTTTTCTTATAATACTTAAAAGCCACATTCACAAACACTTGGCACATAGTTACATCTAATATGTATCTGTATATACCGGGCGGTGAATCGTCAAACGGACCATAGGAAATTCAATGGGAAATGTTAAAACCGTTCTACGAATCAAATGTACTTCAAAATTTTGCAAAAATATAATAGATTTTTCAGACCACCCCTAAAAGTTAGGCCACACGTAATACAAGAATATATTATAACGTGTGTCTTTTATCATATTAATGTCAGATGTTTGACAATTTGAATTGTCCATTTTTTTTATTTTATGTTTAAATTATAAACAATGAAGTTTACTAAATATTACTACTGAACAATATTACTTTGTGAACAATAAATTATATTGTTTAAAAATCGATCAATATAATGAAATGTACTCAGTTGACGAAAAGTCGCATAATGTTGTATTCAGGCAATAGCGCGAACCTTTTCCTGTCACTACCGGATCTTTATGTAACGTAAGATATTCTAATACACTAAAATTTAATTCCATGTTAAGTTAAGTTATACAACAATTCAATGAATTCCAATATACTGTTACTGTGATCTTTATTCCTAATAATAATATATGATAATTTCTAAACATAAAACTATAACAAATGTTATAATAAAACATGAATAAAACATTTTTATTATTGCTCTTTTCTCCTTAACTGAGTACATTTTTTAATGAACTTATTTTTTCTTTTAAATAATAAATCACAAAATTTTGGCCATTTAAATCATGGATAAATATAATATAGTTGATTTAAATATTGTCAAATATTAGAAACGTCAATATGACAAAACGCAACACGTAATACACATTCTTTTCACGGCGTCTGGCCTGACTTTTAGGGGTGGCCTGAAAAATGTATTATATTTTAGCAAAATTTGGAATACATTTAAGTCGTAGAACAATTTTAAAATTGTTTTCGATGCATTTTTGAGTCCTCTACAAATAGTTTCCCATGACTTTTGGTGTAAAATAATTAGGGAAGCAGGAATTCAACAATTTAGAATTTCTCATTGAGTTTCCTATGGCCCGTTCGACGATTCACCACCTTGTATATCTAATATGTGTATCTGTATATTCCTGGATTTAAACTTTCTGATGACTCATCATGTCCCTGCAGTTTTCTCTGAACTGTTTTCTTGTGGCATGTCTAAGTTAAATGTCATATTTATATGAGGTTAAGCCACAATTGATGGTAATAAAAATTACATTTTATATTTGATTTTGACATTTCGACTTCTACTCTAGAAATAGGTTAAAAAAAAAGAATTTTAAATTAAATTAAAGTGCTTATTACACCTGTTGTATATTATATTTTTATGAAGTAAAATAAAGTCTTATGAAGCGCAAATTAATATACAACAACCCAGGTGTAATAACCTTACTTTACTTTAAACTTCTATTTTTCTTGAAAATGATTTCCAGAGTGAAAGTCAAAATTGCAAAAAAAAAAATGTAATTTTTATTAAAATCAATTGTAGCTTAATTCCATATAAATATAATATTTAAAATGTTCTCTCATTTTGATATCAATTGGTGCCAAACCTAGACTGTATAATTATTCAATTATAATTTTATTTTCTGTCATTGCACTCATTTGTCTTCACTGTTTCAGTCTTTGTATTGAGTAAACCTGCTAACACCAAATGCTCAGCATAAATTAGACATACAAGGATGTAACCTATGAATGCAGACTTACTTACACATGAAATTTATTACTTTCTCCTAAATTTAATACTAGTTGCTACACCATTATAATTATATAACAGGTATATTTATTGATATATTTTTCTAGGTATTACATGGAATGAAGACACCTTATTTGAATACCTTGAAAACCCCAAGAAATACATCCCTGGCACAAAAATGGTGTTTGCTGGTTTGAAGAAACCAAATGAACGAGGGGATCTTATTGCCTACCTTAAATCGGCAACTAAGTAAATTATTCTGGAGTACCATCATAACTTTGTTTTTGGATGAATTAGAAGATGTTCCTTGATCCTTCCTATGGCATTTTATGTTTAAAGACATGTCGTTTTACAATATACACTATTTGAACATTAGAAGTGGTATAGGAAAGATAACTTCTTACTGCCAGATAGTTTTCAGTTACTTCTGGAATAATATCTTTGGCAGTTTTTATCTGCCAACTTTAATTATATACAAGATATTAAAGACAGTTACATAGAAAATTGTAAAAATCTCTTATTTGTTATTGTTAGATATTGTCTTTTCTATCTACCATTGTGATTCATACAAAAACAATTAACTCGTGTGTATTAGTAGTATTTTCATCTAGTACATATGTTATTGTATCATGACAGATGAAGTACTGTGTACAAAATAGGCAATTTTTAAATTATTTTAAATTATTTCATACCATTGTATTAAGTATACCAAAAACTGTACAGTACGACTGAAACATTCAGTATATTGTTATTTTTGTGTCCTTGTTCATTAAACTATTTATGAATCCATTGGTGTTTTATTGGTAGCAACTTACCTATATTTTACTTGTGTGCCCCTTAATAATATTACCAAATTCATACACTGCAACTCAAGACAAAATAGGTCAATTTTGAAAAATCTTTTAATGGCTTCTAGGTGTGTTTCAGGAAGGTCAGATCTTTTTCTGCCTGTTTGTATACACAACCAAACATGGAATCATCTGATATTTTTTATTATTTCAAGTGAATATAAAAAAAACCAACATCTGAAGTCAATTCCAGAATTGTGGAAGCAAACAATTTTGGCTGTATGTACATTTTCTTTTGATTTTGATGCTCTGGACCACGGTTTTTCCTGACCTAATGGTTCAATGCAATCATAATTGGATAACATAGAACAAACACTATTGTCATACCATTTCACACACAAAATTTCCTTAGCTTCGTCGAATCTATAATCATTGTACCTCTTGTCATTTTCTTCATTAGCTTAGACTCCATTACTGAACATTTTTGCACACGATTCTTCAGTTTATGTGGCCTTTGTTTTTTTTGTTTCAAGTATGTCATTAGTTGATATGTTGTGAAATAATTATCAAAAAAAATTTCATTTCTAGATGGTTTGGGCAGGTATTTCAAAAGATTAATTACTACTTTATCTCCTAGTGGTATTCCTTTAGTATCTTCAGTATCATTTGTTTTTTTTTTCACAATAAACGTCAACACCATAACAATATCCAGCGGAACCAGTTTTCGTCCAATTCTCATGTCCAAATATAACTGACTAATAAATTGTTTTGCTGGGTTATGGCCGAAATATTTCACCATGGAATCGTCTATAGATATATTTTTATGGAAACATCCTCAGTGGCAGAGTTTTTCTATGATTTTATCTGCTAAGGGTCCAATTTTGTACATACGATCTTTAGAATCACCTATTTTTGCATTATCCGCTAGGTGAACAAACTTTTTTATTTCTAAGTACCTGTCTCTGCTCATAGCGTTGTAAATACAGAAAACTAGTTCCTCATCGAATGACCTGTATAACCTTTCTCGTGGTAATCTGTTATACCCAGTTATATATGGAATATATAAAATTGCAAAAAAAGTTTTCATTTCGTTTGGAGCTATTTAAAAAAGTGATTATTTTTTTGCTGTGCCTATAAAATTGACTGATCACAAATGTATGTAATAATTTCTTCAGTAAGTAATTTTTCAAAAAATTGAATTGATGATAAATTTCTCAAATCTTCTTTAACGTTTTCTTCTCTTTAAATGAAATATTTACTGTTGTAATAGGTTGAAAATCGGGTTTTACCCACTTTAAAAAATTAGCATATTCCCTTGATTGTCCACCCGAAACTCAGAAGTTCTTACATCTCCTGGTTTATTATGAGACTTAAAAGAGGTTTCTATACTTCCAGGAATTTCATTTCGTTCCAGCAATTCGGATCTTCTAGAATATTATAATGTTTTTATATTTTCTAATTTATTGTTCTTATTTTAATTTACTAAAGGTTCAATATAACATTTACAAACTTAATTTATTTAAAGTTTATTTATAATAATTTATTATTACGATCGTTACATTTAAAACGCGAACGCGATATCTTCTTTTGACTGATTTCCTCAATGAAAATCCCCCGATATTTATGTGAAACCAGCTGCTAGACTAGAAAGATCTGGCGATGAATCGATGCCCTTCCACCCATGATACTATGAATAACAAGATAGGATCTTCCCGTAGCTCAAAATCGGTCGGGTTAGCGCATGCCGTCATTGGAGAGTAGAATTTGAAATCTTGTTAAAGTTAAATGGGATTTTTATGCATTCTGTGATGAAATTACTAGACGAAAATAAGTTAAGAGGTTTAATAATTACAATAATCGTACACATAAGGATATCTCCAAATTATTTATTAAAGATTATTTCTTGATATATACAAAAAACTGACATTTCGAACGTGTAACTCTCCAATGACGTCGCAAAAACATGCGCAATATCTTATCTTATAGTCATAGTATCATGCTTCCACCCATTAGACGACAAGGTGACTCATGGACTTGTTTTTCGGCGAACGACTAGAGATTTCTGTCGGCAGGTAAACAGGTTTTGCAACTGAGCGCCGAAATTACTAGAAATAGAAAAGATTAAATCATAATATATTTACAGTTTTATACGCCATAATATTTATTATCGTAACAATATCATCTTCTTCTTCCTTCTAGTATGCAGGCTTTAAAGCCTGTTTCTTCTTCAATATTAGCCTCCTAAATTGTTTAAATTGTCGCACCATCTTTTTATTGGTCTGCCAATACTTCTTCGTCCATTTGGTGACTTATCCCGTGTTATTCGTACTATTTTATCCTTCTACTGATATGTTCGTTCCACTATTGTTTTAGTTTTGTGACTCAGTTACTCTCTCTCTCTCTCTCTCTCTCTCTCTCTCTCTCTCTCTCTCTCTCTCTCTCTCTCTCTCTCTCTCTCTCTCTCTCTCTCTCTCTCTCTCTCTCTCTCTCTCTCTCTCTCTCTCTCTCTCTCTCTCTCTCTCTCTCTCTCTCTCTCTCTCTCTCTCTCTCTCTCTCTCTCTCTCTCTCTCTCTCTCTCTCTCTCTCTCTCTCTCTCTCTCTCTCTCTCTCTCTCTCTCTCTCTCTCTCTCTCTCTCTCTCTCTCTCTCTCTCTCTCTCTCTCTCTCTCTCTCTCTCTCTCTCTCTCTCTCTCTCTCTCTCTCTCTCTCTCTCTCTCTCTCTCTCTCTCTCTCTCTCTCTCTCTCTCTCTTTTTATAAAACTTATCTTCTTTTTATAAAACTTTTAATAAAGTATAATTTTTTTCTTGATGAAAAAATGTTTTTTATTCTGCAACTACACCTCTTTTGAAATTCGTGTAATACGAAGCACTATATAATCAATCTGGTTGTATTTAAAGCGAATTGAAGCCAGTTACTGACTAAGCTATTTATCTCGATAAGGGAAAACGTAACTAGTAGCCCAAAACATTTTAAAATTCAATAGAATGTTTATTTTTATCCTCCTCCCTCCTCAATCCTTTAGCCCTTGTCAGGGCGTAGTGACACCCTAAATATTGTTAGTCTGCTGTCCATCCCATCGTATTGGAGATCTTCCTCTTGGTCTTTCGCCTTCTACCTTTCCTTCTACTACCAATAGTTCCATAGTGCCCGTTCTTCTAGCTATGTGGCCGAAGTAAGTTAGGTATGCTTGGTTTACTTTTTTTAGTAGCCTGTCTTTTATATGAAGCTCTTCCAGAATTGACAGGTTGGTTCTATGTTCTGTCCAGGACACGCGTAGAATTCTTCTATATACCCACATTTCAAAGGTTTCGATCTTACTCCTATCGATGTTTTTGAGAGTCCATGTTTCAGCTGCATATGTAGCAATGGGAAAAATAAGGGCATTGACCAACCTGAGCTTAGTATTCCTTGTTATTGTTCGGTCGTTCCATATTTTAATTAATTTAGCAGTTGCGGTTCGGGCCATTCCTAGTCTACGTTTGATTTCTGAGGAACAATCACCATTGTTGGTTATCAGAGAGCCCAAGTATACAAATCTGTCGACTACTTCGAAAATCCTTATTTGGCGTATATGGTAGATTATTATTTGCTCTGTCTACAATCAATATTTTTGTTTTTCCGGTGTTGATTTGAAGTCCGAATTCTTCACTTATTCGGCTTAGCCGAATTTTTATAGGCGTCCTCAAATAAGACGGCCTGCGTAATGGTTTAAATTATTTTTATTTGTGTTTTTTTAGTAGTCACTGTTACCACCCCTAGCTATTATGCAAGCTTCAATAAGTGTGGACATGGTCACTTTGACAACATTTTGTTGTGGTAGGTTGTTCCATTCTTCAAGAGCAGCTTGTACTAGCTGTGCGGTGTTTTGTGGATTATCCCGGCGAGTCCTAATTCTTCTTTTAAGCATATCCCATAAATGCTCTACAGGATTAAGGTCGGGTAAGCAAGCAGGCCACTATAGAACAGTAATATCTTCTGCTTCAAGGAAGTCTACTTTGCTGGTATGTCGAGGTGCATTATCATTATCATGCAGCCGTTAAAATTGGTTGGATCATAATGCGTGCCCAGTATATGACACTTGTTCCTTTATATATTTGAACAGATCTGTAGTTTCCATTCTTGCTTGTCTTCCTCGCCCTCATAAGTACACAAATTGGTCAGTCAATGTTCCAGTTTTGTTGTTGAAGACACCAATTCAGGTGAGCAGTCTTGTGCTGCCTGGATAACTTGGGAACCCGTAAATCTCAACTGCTAAATAGTCCTTGGGCACGAAGTCAATGGATCAGAAATTGTTGGGTCGCTTCTAGCTACTTGGACAATGAAACGATCGTGGCGAGCCATTGTTACTTTTGGCGATCTTGTCTGGGTCTATTCTTAAGCGATCCTGATTCTTGATTCCTAGCTCAGGTTTCGACACAGCGCCCTGTCTTAATCCTACAAATGTAGTTAATTTCCTCAGAAACATTAGTTCCTCCGCAAGAACAATAAACTTTCCCCTTTGCGCATCCATTAACCCCATATAAGGCATATTTTCCTATAAAGTAACACAAAATTGCATGTTATAGGTATCGATAAACAGATGTTACCATGATATTACTGAAAAACAAGATGTCTTTTTTATCTTAATCTTAGACTGAGACTATAATCCTTATCTTTTTAATTAATTTACTTTTTAAATGTTTATTATTATTTATATAAAATAATTCTGTAGTAAATAATACCACAAATATATCTATTCATTTGTTACCTTCTATTTTTTTTACTTAAAACCCCTAATCCTATATTATTACATCTAAAACCACTTTAGCTTTATCAACGAATAACGTCAGATACCAACGTCAATGATTGTAGAAATAAGTATCTTATCTAATTTCATAATAGAAGTACAAATATAATTTGTAATAATATAATAATATTGTAATAATATTTATATATATATTTTTTAGATATACCTTTAAAGTAAAAGTTTAACACATGCAAATAAATATGCAAAAGATTT